CAACCCATTTTTTTTTGAAGCGACTAATAGCATATTTTGTCTTTTCCTAATTTTTTTTGTTCAAGATTTTTTCTTAAATTTACGGACTAAATTATTGTATTTATTTTAGTGATTGTAAATGGGCTATAACTTGTATATTTATTATTTAGGAATATTTGTTTAATTTAATTTAAATGTTTAATGTCATATTATCAAATTCGATAATTCGACCGTGACCCAAGTCTACCGGCTTATCCTTAAGATGCCTTATTTATTTTCGTAAACAATTGTCAGGTGATATAAAAGTGGGCTTCCACAGCTTGTCATAAAACATAATTCCTGTCGTTCTACTTTTTCCTAAAGAACCATATTTGAAGGGGACGATTGTACTGCTTAAACCGTGATTCTGAAATGCGAACCTCTTTTAGAAATTTGCATATATTTTTTTAAAGTGAAAGCTAGTATAGGTTTCTAATATTTTTTAATGCATAAATATTTATGCAGCTGACTGTACATATGTCTTGCAAAAATTAATATTGTACAAACCACAGAAACTTGTGGGAAATGTTAGCTGTATACGGTAAAATGTTTTTTTTTTCTTAAATTAAATATAATAAGTAATTTTTTAAAGTCTTACATATGTTTTTAAATGTCATGTTTATTATTAACTTTTTTTTTTAATTAAATACTTTCACGGTTCGTTTTAAGTATGATTTAATTGGTAGAAGAAAATATTTATAACAATACTTCGTTAAAAGGCTTTTTTTTACTTCAAAAAGAAGGAGGTTCAAGGAGGAGGACAATTCGTCTGTATGTTTTTTTAAGTGTGTTATCGCGTAACTCTGCCCCTGGTGCACTGATTTTGAAAAAATATTTTTTGCTCGAAAGTTTTTGCCTGCAGGTAGATCCTATTTTTTTAATAATTTTTAAAATGATTTCAACAATAACATTGTACATATTTTTATAATAACTTTTGCATGACATTGACACTTATTTGTGACGTCAACAAAACCCATGAATATTAACATATTCTTCATTCATTACGTAAAAACAATGACTATTTTTGTATTTAAAAATATTTAGTAACATTTCAACAGTCTTTTGTTTTGCTCGTGAATATATTATATATATGTATTATATAATAGCTGTCAAAAGTAAGTTCTCACTCGATTACAATGCCATAGCTCCTGGAAGCTTTAATAATTATCCGAGAAACTAATATGACATGTAACTAAAATTATGTAAACTTTTAAAACTATTTTAACTCAAACTCGAAAAACAAATTGGAACACGACCTGATGATTACAGCGCTACCGACGCTCTTGACTATGGTCTAGTCAACCTTAGGGTAGGCTTCGAGCCTCTTAGTTGGGACGTATAGTGAGCTGATAACATTGCTACTCTTAGGAGATTCTTTAAATTACATGTTCCTACTTTTTATAACAGCATTTAAGTTATCAATGTCTTTCTAGCCTCGAAACTTCGCGAAGTTCAATTAATACGAGCAGTACAATAAATCTGTCGACTCAGCTTTTTCGTGGACCTTACCCTTTGAGTCTCTTTAAATAACGTTGGTTATATTTTAAGTTTGCAGGAAATAAGATTAAAGAAAAAAATAATTATAATGGATTAAAAGATAAGTCACGATAAAAATAAGGGGTATGCCAAGCCGCGGATAAGTGTGTCACATTCGAAAAAATACTGCAATTCTAAGTTTTGACGGGGGGAAATTCTGACGGTCACAACGAGGTTGACTGATCTTACCAATCCCTGATAATTTTTCATGTTACAAATATTTGTTACCGTCATAGTGGGTTTCTACTGTTGACATTCTTGTACAAAAACAATCGTCATTTCTTACGTTCGCTTTAAAAAAAAATAGGGATTACTATATCTTACTAATATTATAAATGCGAATGTTTGGATCGATGGATGTTTGTTTGAAGGTATCTGCGGAACGGATTTTGATGAAATAAAGCACAGATGCTAAATAGTCTGGAAGAACACTTAGGCTACTTATTAAGTTTTTTAAATTCGCAGGCAGCATCATCATCATCAGCACACTATACGTCCCAACCGAGCCTCGGAGCCTACCCAAGTTAGGGGTGACTAGGCCATAGTCAACCACGCTGGCCCAGTGCGGGTTGGTTGACTTTTAATACATTATTTACGGCTTCGAAAACTACAGTGGAAAACAGGCACAAAAATACGACACATCTTATTGTCTCTGTTGCCGACAGATACGGAACCTCTTTACACGTTTTTTATCGTAATTTTTAAATTTTTGTATTTGGAACTTTATATATTTTTTCTTCCTTATTCTCTATATTTAAAAGTTTAACTGGTAAATAAATCCTCTAACAATGCGTGTTTTTCTCTTTATTTTCATAATTCTGTTTTATATTTTCATTTTGTCTTATTATTATATAATATTATATAATATTCCAAAATTCATCCTAATCCAACCGCTCTTTCCATCATCATATTTTCCGTCGTCTTTTGTCTCTATTTTTTCAAAGATAATGAAAGGTATGAAGATATTACAATACGTCATCGCGCATATCCAGTTACGATGACCTTAGTTGCAACACATAGTAATGCAAAGATTATTTTTATAAACCCGTATAAAATAAAAATAATTTCTTGTTTTACACACAGGTTCTTAAAATCAACTTTTAGATACTGCCTTCATTCCTTACCTGTTTAAGGATTTTTCCACACGTTACACGGATAATTTAAAATAACCGACTTTTATGTCTTTGCACTCTGGGGGAAATACACTTGATACTACAAAATCTATCAAGCCTTTAAAGCTATATGCTACTGAGCGCCAAAGTTGTCCAAGTTGACTGATTTCTAGGGTCATCAGAAGACTCGGTACACTTGTACGACATATATATATATATATATGAATGTCTGTATGTAATTTCGCAAAAGAAAAATTATTTTGCAAACATGGTGTATTTTCGTTACTTATAACGAAAACCCAATTTTTTAACATATTATCTGTCTGTGTGAATGGTTGGACTGATTTTGAAGATGAAATTTTTAGTGAGCAATCGTTAATCGAAATAAATTTGAGGGTTCCTCAGTTGCAAAACAATTATAGTAGCAAGGGTTTCCTCGAAAATAGTGATATTATGAAATAACGAGAAAAATAAGTTTCAAAATCTATGTTATAAGAACACACAAAGTTTATTGCTCAAACAAAAAACATACAAACATTACTTATATATACATCTCGAATGATATTAAAAGATCCTTTTACAAAGAAGTAAAAAAAACTTAAAGTTAAATTTTTTTGTATGATATACATAAGAAATAAATTAATAAAAATAAAAAATATTTTCGCACATTTTGAAATATAAATTAATTGTAACGAATACTTGTTTACATGTAAATGATATCAATGTCACATAATTTTGGCATTTCGTTGTGCCTTCATTTTAACACGTTAAAAAGGTAATAAAAAAAATTACAAATTCCCGCACTTCCTAATGAAGCAGAGACGACCTTTAACTCACGATGCCCTTTGCCTTTAATATTTAAAAAAAACTACTACAATTTAAGTAGCACATTAAATATTATGACATGGATATAATTGTGACTATATATTTTAACTTCTCAAGTAACCTTTTATTAATAGAGAACTCACATAATGTCCATGTTTTAAAGAAAACAAAAATTTAATTCTGATTTCGAATGTGGTTAGAATAACCTCAAGTAAATTAACAAATAAGAAAGCGACATTGTTACTGATCCCGTTGAAGTCTTTTCTTCTCAAGGTTATATCGATTACAAATTCGGTTATGGTAAATAGTCTAAAAGTACAACTAAATTACAGCCTATTCAGATAACTGGCTTATTCGTAATATGCAATGTATAAATAGAGAGCAGTTTTCCTCAAATTATAGCATTAAACGATAATAGATACTACTTGTTTTTAGGGTTCCGTACCTCATAGGAAAAAAACGGAACCCTTATAGGTCCACATTGTTGTCCGTCGTTTGTCTGTTAAGAACCTTTTTCTCAAAAACAAATGAAGGTATCAAGCTGGAATTAATTTTTATATCTTATTAATTATGTTACGTATCTTTGTTTATCATACAAATAAAGGCTAAGGGCAAGGATTCGCGTGATGATAAACAATTATAATTACACATAATTATCAGCTGTATTCGTTCCGAGACTTTGTTAACTTGAGTAATTATTAAGTTACGCTCTGGTAACATCGATTTCAGATAGATAAGATTCTAAAATATCGATAATCGTGGATACACTAAGGCATAGACATTGGATATAATACAATTCTTTTATTTAGATATTTTTTTATCACTTTTTGTTTATTTGTAAGGTATATCATATTGTAAAAAAATAAAAATACGGAAGAACGGAGCATCCTGTCATAGGTATTATATACTTGAAAGAATTGTCCAACAACTGATGTATATTTTGATTTAAATAAATTATTATTTAAACCAAAATTTATTATTATTCTTATATATTATTATCTTGTATCATTCCAACTAAGCTCTATGTTTGTGCCAGGATATGGTTAAAGACCATAGTCGAATGGCGGGATTCGACGCTCCGACCATCGGAAAAACCCTTAACCATTAGGCTATTGACGCTTCAATTTAAAGGTGAGTATACACTAGAGTATTTTCTCGAACATTTCTATGTAATATAACGTTCTTACTAATCTTACTAATATTATAAATGCGAATGTTTATATTAGGAGGGATGTTTGTTTGAAGGCATCTCCAGACCGGCTGCATGGTTCTCGCTGAAATTTAATATAGATGTAGAACATAGTTTGGAATAACATAGACTACATTTTTTTTTAAATTCCGTTCGGATGCAATCGTGGACGACAGCTAACTCTGACTATGAAAATTATCTTTTTAAAAATCTGTAAAAACAAAAGAACATCCGACCTTCATCGATCTGGTTTTAATGAATCATTGAATTCATTGTTGGTGTAAACATTATACGCAATGATAATCGAACGCAGACGGACAGACACGCGTGTAGTCGACAACTAGTTTAACGTATTTGATTCTACGTATATATTGTAGGATTGTTCGCTAACTTAGCCATTTGCTTAGTGCCGGTTCGTCCTTAAGTTTGGATGTAAGTTTAAGTGATGGGTGTGTTGTGGTTCTTGTTAATTGTTACCGTGGTAACGGGAAATGCATTAAAATTAACTGGTAAGTTAGTTATTTAAATTGTAACTTAATTTTATCAACTAAATCTTTGAAATCAAGAATTAAATTTTCGTAATTTCTTTTATTTTACTATATTTTATATAAAGGCAATACAAAGAACGTTTAGTGGACAAACATATTTATAAAATTATTATTTTATAGAGTACAAGTTACAAATTATTCTCAAATTAATGATTATTTAAATTATATGACTTTGATTACACTTGAAAATTAAGCTTTTGGTAAGGATTCTTGAATTGTAATATTAAAATTATAACAAGAGTCGAACTTAATAATTTCTGAAATTTACAGGTTTTTTATGTATTTATATTTTAAATTCTTATATTAGTAAATATATAAAATGCGATATATAATATATTGCAGTGCCCCTGTTGAGGCACGGCTGAATCATCCTGTTTTCGATTTAAGGCAATATTGACAAGTTTAATTTAATTTTGAACATATACTTACAAGTTCACTAACTAGTACACATAACTAGGTTTTACACAAAGAGATATAAATATAATATGTAGTGTTTGGAAGATAATCCGACACTATTCCGGTGTCGGCACAACACTATCCTTAATAAAATATCAACGTTTATGTCCTTGGACTTGATAACGAAAGCGCGCCATTCACTCTAAATTATTCTAACTAATGATGTCTAAACGTAGTCATAGAGATGATACTTCGTATTGTCCGATAGTTTAAGCTTTGAACTGTCGCTGTTAGTTAATAATTATAATAACATTATTATTTAAAAATACAGTAACTAAGGAAATCGATAGATGATATATAAGAAATGGTAAATTAAAAATATTATTAATCGATTAACAGCGCAGTTTGTGTTGGGATATTATTTATCTCTTGTCGTGTGTTATGTTAAAATGAGATCGCACATAATCTTACTTCTTACTACTATTATAAATGAAAAAGTTTAGAAATGGAGCGTCGGTAGCTCAGTGATCAAGCACTTGACTTGCAATCTACAGGTCCTGGGTTCGAATCCCGCCCTGTACCAATGTGTTTTTCGATTTCCGATTTACATATGTACATTTATCCGACGTTCTTACGGTGAAGGAGAACATCGTGATGCTGCACATATCTGAGAAGTAATTCAAAGATATGTGTGAAGTCAACCCACCCGCATTGGGCCAGCGTGGTCGACTATGGCCTAATCACCCTTAACTTAGGGTAGGCTCCGAGCCCCTCGGTGGGGACGTATAGTGAGCTGATGATGATGAAAATTTAGATGGATGTTTGCTAGAAGATATCTCCGGAACGGCTCTACAGATCTTGGTGAATTTGGTACACATGTAGAACATAATTTGGGGCACACATAAGCTACTTATTAAGTTTTTTTTATTCCGTGCGGACGGTATCATAGGTGATAGCCAGTTATTACGTACAAGGAATCTAATAGGTACAAACTAATGGAACGCATTTACACATTTTATCACCTTCGAGTCGCATTGTTTTTAGCAATTTAACAATTGTAATATTAATATATGTATGAACGTATTAAAATTAAATAAAATAACATTAAAAAAGTATAATAAAAATACAAAAACATGTAACATATTTTTATGTCATAAAAAAATTTGGAAACATTAAAATTTTATGAATAATCTTCTGCCGTTGAATCAACCTTAAAAATTAAAATTAAACCTTGCTTTTTCGGTAAATATAACATAATAATTATGTTTTTTATCAATGTTTACAACCGTAGAATACTGAGGTGTACTTTAAATCAATACATGCTGTAGTTTTTGTTTTATTAAAGAGAATTTGACATAAGGTTTGGAACGCACTTTTAATATATTGACATCTCTATTATTCTTTTTGGAACAAAACAAAAACAATAATATGTAGGAGCAATTAAGGAATTAACTTATACTTAGTCATATATCTAAAAAAAACTATTACTCTTTTCAGTCAAATAAGAAACAAAATCAATTTAATAAAAAGATCACTTGTTATAATGCGAAAAATAATAATTAATAATATTAAAATAAACATAAAATATATCTCAAAGTAAAATGCTTTGATAAAATCAATCGCAAAATAATTTTACAATCGTAAAATTATTAATATATTCGAAATTTAAACCGCCAATTGCCTTGACAGAAACATTCTATCAAGGTAAGAGGAAAATATGAATCAAGATACGGTCAGTGAACTTATTTCATAACTCACATTTCTTTTTTATAATGACCAAATTACACACCAATTTATCATCATCGTTCACCAGCACGCCAGCAACAACATCATTTGCACCAATGCTCCGACTTGACCTGTGCAGTACCAGGATTACATGGAATGCAGGCGTCAAATGATAGCAATTTCACGTTTCAATCCAATCCTTCACTTCAATTCAATCCTTTACTTGTAAGTAAAAGATGGAAGAGGAATATTCTCTTTCTGTGCATCCCCTCCTCCGATTCTATAAGTAGGCCATTTGCAATTGAAGATGTTCATGGCCAGTAGTCGCTCCAATGTCGGTGAATTTAATTCCCACTTCAAAATTAATCTATCACACGTCATTTCATTCTACTGTCCCTTCTTAATCATGTCACCTTTCACGCAATCTATCCTTTCCTTGGGCCACTGTATATTCATGTCTCATTGTCATTTTAATGCTAATCTTATATGTAAAATTCTTGTCACAATGTTAGTAACCATACTCCTTCGAAACTTTTTATGAAATTTTATATGCATATTCAGTAGGTCTGAGGATCTGCTACTATATATATTTTAGCGAGCGGACGGAGTCGCGGGCGACAGCTACTAATGATATTTGTTGCATGTTTATATTGGCAGAATATTTTTATAAATTATAATATATATTTCTCACTTATAATAACTTTTACGTATACTAGTAGAACCCGGCAATGCAATGTCTGTTAAATTGCCTTAATTCAAGTCTAAAGAAAAAAAAAATTAAATGTCATCGCGTAAGCACTACGTTTCAAAAACCTTATATATTTTATTGTAATAAAAGATATATTTATATATTAATACTCAATTTAAAGGCTATTAAGTAAAAAACCAGAATTAGTTGCAGTTTTTGTGATTTTAAACGACCACAATACATTTTTAATTAAAAATCAAAGTTGATTCTATATTTTTTCATAACTAGCTGTCCGCACTGACTTTGTCCGCACAAAATTTAAAAAAAGAATAATTAGTAGCCTATGTGTTCTTCCAGTCTATGTTCTACATGTATGCTTAATTACATCGAGATTCGTTCAGCCGTTCCGTAGATACCTTCAAACAAATATCCATCCATCCTCCATTATTAAGATATAAAGCGTCTACAATACCTTTTTTTATAAATAATTTAAGTTGATTCTAGATTTTTTTTCATAAATAGGTGTTAACTATTTTTTTGTTAATGAACACATTGCTTTTATGACTTGCTAATCTTATTCAAAAGTTCAATACATATGACGCTATTAAATGGAAAAGTACTGGGATCGACAATATTAAAAGATGTGAGAGTGACGATGGGATTGAACGCAAACAATATCACTAATTGCACAAAAACGTTGTAGTCTTTGTAACGTCAATCGTTTACGTTTGACGCGGAATAGTTTTTTTGCACAATTAACAGTAACTCTTGTTACATAATTATGTTGACGCTATTAGTGTTATCACACGTATTTATAGTTTTTTTAGGGTTCCGTACCTAGAAAGGAAAAAAGGAACCCTTATAGGATCACTTTGTTGTGCGTCTGTCTGACAAGACTCTTTTTTATAGTATAAGGTTGTTAACGAACAAGCGGTCAATTAGTTAAAATAGTGAAGCGAACTGTGGCTATACATATCCGCATTTGCAAATGCAAAGGTCACAAAGAAACGGGATGTTTCTTTTCTTTCGCTATATCCACGCCCCCTTCCCAGCCGCGTTGTGGAACGGTCTGTCCTCGGCGGTATTTCCAAACCAATACGACTTGGGGACGTTCAAGAAGCGAGCATACCATTTCCTTAAAGGCCGGCAACGCATCTGCAGTTCCTCTAGTGTTGCAGATGTCCATGGGTGTCGTTAATAACTTAGTGTTCCCGCCGCTCGTTAGCCCCCTTTTCTATCACAAATTGGCCTTCAGATTACTAATGCGAATGCTTAGATGGATGGTTGGATATTTGTTTGAAGTTATCTCCAGTACAACTAAACAGATCTGGATGAAATTTGGCACATATATAAAACTTAGTCTTTAACACATAGGCTACTTATTATGTTATTTTTTAATTCCGCGCGGACGTAGTCGCGTGCGATAACTAGTTGATACATAAAGTTCTTATAGCTAGTACCTACATAATATTGGCATAAATGCTTTTCGTTACAAAAATACATTGTAGAAATATGCGAAATCATTCTATGTAACGAAGTTGTTAGAAGTTAATAATTATTGTTTTTGAATTCTTGTACGATTTTCTTTATATCAATGATTAGGAGTCGTAAAATACTTAATACTTGGGTCAATGACCTCTATTTAAAATAAAGTTTTTCTCCACAAAATCTTAATACTTTTAAATATGTATTACAATTAAGGTGAAAGTAACGTGAAAAAATATCGCAAAAATGTGCATTGTATATTACAAGAACTTGAACATTTTTAATTTATTATTTTTTTGAGACGAATACATTATGATTATATTCAACTAGCATTTGCCCGTGACTCCGTCTGCGCAGAATTAAGAAAAAATATTAATAGACTAAGTTTTACACTTAAGGCAAATTTCATAGAGATCCGCTAAACCGTTCTAGAGATACCTTCTAATAAACATCCATCCATGCATTCAAATATTCCTAATTAATATTACGTACGTAAGAAATAAAATAAGATTTAAAAATTTTATAAGCAAAAGGAGGCAATTATTGTATAAATTTTGGCATAGATGTGACTTTGAAGTGACTTGATGATGTGAAGTGGAAGTGGACATTCCGAATCAGATAAGCATAGGAAAGAAAAATATTTTCTTTCTGTGCATCCTCTCCTCCATCGATTAAAGGTGGGCAACGCATATGCAATTGCATATGGTTATGGGCAATGCTCACTATTTCAGCGATTTCAGGTGGCCGCTCCCTCGTTTACCACTTTATGATATAAAAAAATGCAAGATCCTAGTAGCAGTTGTCTTGTCTAGCCTTGGTATATATATTTTCTCACTGGGCCAGAAAGGTGTGTCGTATAACGAAAACATTTCCATTACGTCTAATGTGGGTATTTACGTCAATTACCTTGCACTTTGTTTATTGGAAAGGAATTGTAAGTTAAAAAAAAATCCGTCACAATGAGTAATAATAGCTAAAATACCGCTGGAAGTTTTTTAAAAAATATTTCAGAACGCTATTAAGTTTTGTTTTCTGAGATCAAAATCTTTGTTTAAAATACATCGTCATATCTGTCATTACCTTTGACAAAACATAGATGACAATATGTTTTAAACGGGAACGTTGGTCTCAAAAACCATGATAAATGATTTATCTTACTTATTTATAAATGAGGAAGTTTAGATGGATGGATATTTGTCAGAAAGTATCTCCATGGAATTTGACATACATGTAAAACATTGTCTAGAAGAACACATATACTTTTTATTAAGTATTTTTTAAAATTCCATGCGGAAGCAGTTGTTTTTTTTATAAATTTTAAATCACAATTTTGTCAGCGTCAGCAGGCATATAAACTACATGAAATTACAATGAAATACATACAAAGCTATATACATAAAAACTTACATAAACGCAAAGAATACCTCTCATGAATCTTTATAGTAAATCCCCGGAACACATTACTTATCAGTAGGATTAAAAATATTTCTTTGTGGTACAGACGAGCAATACCATCAGCTGCCGCAGCTATTCCAGCTGGATGACTACGAGGCGTGCCTGTCCCAGCGACGCGGCGCCTTCTGCCTCGCCACCTTCGACCTACTACCATCCGCTAACAAACAACTATTTAACATCATTCAAGTAAGTTTCAGATATCATTAGCTCACTATACGTCCCCATTAAGGGGCTCGGAGCCTACCCTAAGTGAGGGTTGACTTTACACAGATCTTTGAATTCCTTCGCAGGGATGTGCAGGTTGCATCACAATGTTTTCCTTTACCATAAGAACGTCGGGTAAATGTACATATGTAAATCGAAATACACATTAGTACATGAACTATAACGACACGTAAATAAGGACCCATTTACCATATAGACCATGATAAACGTCGACCAATGACTTGTCAACGATAATAGAAGGGGAATCAAAGCGGGGATTTTCGACCGTTGTCTTTACTTAGTATTATGATCAGCTACCCTAAAAGTGCGGTTGTACGAGTATATGCGTTCCAATTGTGGTAGGCTTTACGATTTGGTACAAGGTAATTACGTTCAGGTAAATCACCATCTCAAAGGCCGGCAACGCATCTGCGGTTCCTCTGGTATTGCTGATATCCATGGGCGTCGTTGAACACCTCGGTGTTCCCGCTGCTCGTTTGCCCACTTCTGTTATAAAAAAAAACAAAAATCTCCGTTACGGTTCCCCTACAAGAAATTATTCATGGTAACACAGGTTTACAGGCTAAAGTTTTAATATATACCGTGCATATGTAAGGAATTCGGATTATAAATGAAAAAAAAATTGCACGCGAAATTTCCAATTGTATGATGCGGGCGGCACAGGACCGGGCATTGTGGCAATCGATGGGGGAGGCCTACGTCCAACAGAGGACAAATTTAGGCTCATTATGATGATGATGGTAGAGAAAAATTTAGAAAATTTCCATCTCAAATATTATTATCAGACTGCAATAATTGTGTCAATATTCTAGAAATAAGTATGTAAATTATGTTGACTGAATTCAATTAATTCAAATCAGATTAATTTTCTATTATCTAATGCTTGATATTAGAAATTTTAAGAGACGCTAACGAGTTATTTTGTAACTGTCGTGGTCCTTGTGATCCGACCTTGCTTTATCCTTTTAGGGGCTAAGGTCTTGAGTAATAACCGATTTTGACATGTCATTTAAGGCCATTGTATCGTAAGGTCAAAACCATGACCGGTCCCGATACGGTGTGCAAATGTACTAATACGCCTACAACGCCATCTAGATTAAATGGGTTTAAATTATTAAATCGATTTTGTTAGATAAATATTAATATAAAGATTTATTTAAACTGAAATTCATCGTAGGTTTTCATTGCTTAACCCTCGTTTTCGTACGACGGTTTTAGGCAATAGACACCGTCTTCGTTAAACTTTATAAAAACGGCTAAAACACTCTCGTATGTTCGTCCGGTGTCGACACCGACTAGTTCCGAGCCTATCGAGTGCCCTTCATCATGAGTGAGCGATGGTCCGTGTCCGCGAAATAATACGAGTCCCATTCACCCTGATGAAGGGCGTCACGTATATTCGTCCGGTGGCGGCACCGGACGAATATACGTGAGTGTTATAGCCTTTTTTATAAAATTATAAAAATGTTTGACGACAGTTTAAATAGTCTTCGTTGTTTTAGTATTTTTTGAAGTCAATTATGTTATCATTTTTTCTTATATCTTTTATTGTATTTTATATCTGTATTTTTTTACAGCAATTCTCCGAAGATCGTACCAACTTTAATCATACAAGAATCCATCGCGGATATTGTGTCAGCTCCAGATGTTCGCACATCGACGAAGTTTCCCTCAACAGGAGATTCGTGAAATGTGTCAGCGATATAACAAAGAACACATACGGTTTGGACACAAAACTGGCAACATTGAATTATTGCAAGACAGCAAAAACTCCACCAACAAAACCAATAGATGAATTAGATGTATCATTTGCGTATATAACCGGATTCATATTACTTATGAATGTTATCGGAACGATATACCATTTAACAAGAAACCCAGACCACAAACGTGAGTAGATCATTCATTATGCAAACGGAAGGTGTACTGCAAAAAATTTCCATCAAATGTCTATGAATTTTATTAATCTGTGATTGTATCGCTAAAATTTTCCAGAAAAAACATATGAGACGCGATTACTATGTTTTGAGTTTTTTTTTTTTTATATTATAACCGAACCACGATCGTGCAATAAATGCAGATGTTTCGATGCAAGAATGGATGTTTGTTAGAAGGTATCTCCGGAACCGTTGCATGGATATCTATGAAATTTGACATATATGTAGAAGATAATCTGTAAAAACACATAGGCTAATAATTAACTTTTTTTTAATCCCATGCGGACTGATTAAGGCATAAGCAATAATGCAACGTTAACGCATAAATGTATAATATTAATAAAGTACGTCATAACTTTGACGTGTTATTTTCGTTATGAACGTCATTCGCATCAAGCTATAATAAAAAAAGGTTAATCGCATTATGACCTGTTAAAGCGAAGTTCTAGTATAAAATTAATGCCTCATTATTCGTATCATTATTCTAGTTTCACACGAGGGTCGCACTGATAGTGCCGTATTACCTTGAAAGAACATATTCCGACAAAACTACTCTTAAGTACACAAATATTAATTCATAGTCAATATTTATACTAAAAAGGTTATAAAGATATACAAATTTCTTGTCTATATTTAAGACCTTTTCGCATTCTTCGTGTGGGTCTAACACGAATATGTGAAAATTGTGTCAAAATTAGTAAGAGATTTTAGTGTACTTTATGCTCGATAGGGGGCTCTGCACAAATTTTAAAACAAATTTTGTCTATGACGATGTCTCGGCGTGTGCGTTCAGTTAGCAGAACGACAATTCTACTACACTACGTCACAACTCTACCTTCGTGGTAAATTAAGATTACGCCACTCTAGATGTGTGACAAATCATGGCTCACTATAAAGCTTTAAAGACGTTAATCAAGTAACAAATGTAATTAACGAATAACGCAAACATCTAAGCCCTCATTGAATAGAACGGTCTTTTCCAATGATAGATAATTATATAATTTACGATGATTGCTTTATGCAATCCCACATTATTATGGAGTTCTTATGAATAGAAAATGAACTGGTGTCATGCACACATCTTAATATTACTTAACTGGATGAAAAAATATAGTATAAAAAATGTGTTTAAGTACGAATTACTAATAAAATGATGAAATATGAATAATATTTTTCGATCTTACCGATAGAAAAAGTTAAGTTTATGTTTAAGTTGATTATCGATAAAACACGAATAAAATGACATTTTCTAAAAATGATTCCTAGCTAGATCGATTTATCGCCCCCGAAACCCCCTATATACAAAATTTTATGAAAATCGTTGGAGCCGATTCCAAGATTCCAATTATATGTATACAAGAATTGCTCATTTAAAGATATAAGATAAATGCGAATGTTTAGATGGAATGTTTGTTTGAAGATATGTCGAGAACTGCTGCATAGATCTTGCTGAAATTAGGCATAGATGTAGAACATAATCTGGAAGAACACATAGGCTACTTATTGAGTTATTTTATTCCGCGCCGACGGAGTTGCGGGAGATAGCTAGTTAGTAATAAGATCTTCGGATTCTACTATGTCAATTGTTATTCTTTAAGAGCTAAACTATTTCTTTTAACATACGGTAACTCGCGACTCCGTCGGCGCCGATTCTCAGAGCTACTGAATATAGATATAAAATTTCATGAGAATCAGTCAAGCCGTTTCCGAGAAATATGTTAACTAACATTGTGACACGAGAATTTTATATATAAGATGATATATAATTATTTTTATTTACAGCTAATCGTTATTTAATGACTTTTTCCTTTGTGGAAAATTGGAGGCGGCTGACAGACTCTTATCAGACTGGAGATGCCAGACTCACCGCCCTACAGCCTATTCATGGCATGAAGTGAGTATGATATTTAGTTTTATAAAGTAAAATGTCCAATTTAACCACAGTTTACTTAAAGAGGTCTACGGCTTTGGAGCGAAAGTCCAAATTTTTTTTTATATCATAAGGTGGCAAAGGAGCGAGCGGCCACCTGAAATCGCTAAAGTAGCGAAGTGACCGTTGCCCATAGACATACGCAATGCAGATGCGTTGCCTACCTTTAATCGACGGAGGAGAGGATGCACAGAAAGAAAATATTTTCCCTTTCCATGCGTCCTCTCATCCGGAAAGTCCACTTCAACTTCCTATCCTTTCCTTAAAAGAAAAGGGTGGGAAGGGAAAGAGGACTAAAATAAATGTTTACTTACCCATATAATAAGACATGCCTCTGTTTAGAAACTCGCCAAATTCCTCCAAATATCCGCAAATAATCCTCACTATGCCTGCGTAGTTGACTATAGCGTAGTCTCCACTAACTTGGGCATCCTCTGAGCCTTCGATAAAGATATATCTAAGGTGTACACAATTAAATTAAGATTTTTTGTTATATTTCAGAACGATCACTTTGCTCTGTGTCATGTTGGCACACTCCGTGATCACTTATCATGCCGCATACGTTATGAACCCACGCTTCATTGAAAATGTAAGTTTTGTTTCGAAATTGTCTGCATCTCATTGTCCCGTATTAATAAATATAATCTATATATATAAAAGAAAGTCGTGTTAGTTACACTATTTATAATTCAAGAACGGCTTTACCGATATGGCTGAAAATTTGTGAGGAGGTAGCTTAGAGCCAGGAGACGGACATAGGATACTATTTATTCATTTTTTTTTGTAGAATTTGTGCCTTGAAGAGCTGCTTTTTATTTAACTTATGTATATATTTAGATTTTTTTATGTCGCGGAGTCGCGGGCTACAGCTACTTTTCAATATTTTAGAAATTCAGTCATCGACATCTCAAGCGACGATTGTCAATAACATTTAACAAATACATAAATTATTACAGAAATTTATACAGATTTTGAAGCTAATAACTTGGCCTTATGTAATTAACGATGACCCTTAAATAAACCAAGGCTCAAGATTTTTTAAATCAGCCGACATTCACTAATTCTTTCTATCGATTTACAGGGTAACCGTCACCCGATGTCTATCTTACTGCACAACGGTACCGTCATAGTGCAGACCTTCATTCTGCTCTCCAGTTTCCTCTACGCGTACAACATGTTCATTTACATTGAGAACAATCCTAAGAAACAACTAAACTTGCATTTGTTCCTTAGCTCCGTGTTAAATCGACTCTCCAGGTAATATAATAAGAAATACAGTGTATTGTAGAATTTTACCCAACATTAATTACAATTAATTTTACTTCTTACTAATTAGAATAAATTCGAATGGATGGATGGATGTTTGTTAGTAGGTTAAAACAGAGTCGCGATATGAATCTCGATGAATTGACACAGATGTAGAACACAGTCTGGAAGAACACATAGGCTGCTTACTAAGTTTTTAATTCCCCGCTGACGGTGTCTCGGCAAAAGCTAGTATTATATACTAGTATAGTACCTATATAAATATGTATTGGAAACATGATAAGCAGTAACTTTAAAATAGACTTTTTTATTAACTAATGTAAGAAATGAGAAAATTTCGTTTTACCAATGTTAAAAGTTCGTAATACAAGAGATCGAATGAACGAAAATCAAGTAATGATCGGTCGACTGTATTTAAGACCGAAAGAGATGTAGATAATCCATCATTATCTGAAGCACTATTGATGCGATATGATTTGGACATTGTCCAGTCTCTGTATCATCTTACTTAAGGGTTTGTTTCATAGAAAGGGGGACAAGGGATAGCAGATTTCTTAACCTTAATTCATCCATGGAGAAGGTCAAAGTTTTTAGTACTGGCTGACACTTATACGCTAATGATGCAATTTAATTTCCCAGAATCCTACCCTTATATATATTTGTCGTGGGTTTTGTGACAACATGGTGGAGACATGTCAGCGATGGCCCGCTTTGGTCACCCTTCGTGGAGGCGGAGTGCGCCCGTTGCAGGGACAAATGGTGGTCGCACTTCTTATTCCTTAACAACTTTTATAAGCCTGATGACAAATGCCTGATACAGACATGGTGAGTGATTTATGTAAAAGCCTCTTCGTGATATTGTCTATGGTTTTCAAATGTAGTTTATAAGTAAATCTTTCATATTTTTGTTTATCTAACCTAATTTTAGTAGCCTAGTACTAGTACTCGGAGGATAAACTACTAACTGGTTTCTGACATCAAAAACTTACTAATATTATAAACGCGAATGTTTCGATGGTTGGATGGATGGATGTTTGTTCGAAGGTATCTTTAGAACGGCTGCATGAATCTCGCTGAAATTTGGCATAAATGTAAAACAATCTGAAAAAACCCATAGGCCACTAATTAAGTTTTTTTTTTAATTCCGCGCGGACAAAGTCGCGGGCGACAGCAAGTCTCTGTATTAAACAAATAGTAATCTTTAGAATTTATTATCTTTGACAAAACAGAGATAAGAATATGTTTTGAACGGGAATTTTGGTCTCAGAAACCCACGGTAAATGATGTTAACTTAATCGAATCCGTTAATAATGCTGCCGTAAAACATTTGTTATCATAAGCTTTTAAGGTTAATTAAAAATGTTTAAAATATAACAATAAATTATTTCAACGATATTGTTCTATTTGTAGTGTCCATGATTTGTGCTAAATATATTTTTTTTTCATATCCAGGTTCCTCGCGGTGGACTTCCAACTTTATGTGTTGGCAGTGTTTCTCACCCTCGTCCTGGGCCAGTCTTTCCGCACCTCTATCAAGGTTTTATCCGGTCTTCTTGTTGTTTCCATGGCAACGAACTTCGCGATCGCGTACTACTGGGATTTGAAGGCGGTACTTTTTGTAACGAACACTGAGTAAGTGTAAAGTCAATTAAGATTTTTTTTTGTCACTGAGTAGTCACTATTTGCCTTGAAGAGACGGTTTCACCGGGCCTGAGGTGGCCGAGCGCAGATGGCGGTTAGCCTGAACCTTGTTTATTTTTCTCCTTCTGTAAGTTAAGTCACTTAACATTACGATATCGTGTTTTAAATTGCTAGTAACGCCATCTAGCTCATTTAATACATAAACTAATCTTAATAATTAGAGAATATTTAAAATACATGAGGAGCATTAGTGGCTGATTTGACCTGAAATATGTAGGTTGAGTTCAAATCCCGCCATGTACCAATGTGATTTTCGACTTCGATTTACATATGCACATTTATTTAACGTTCTTATGGTGAAGGAAAACATCGTGATGCAACCTGCACATATCTGAGAAGAAAATTCAATGATATGTGTGAAGTCAAGTGCACTGGGCCAGGGTATTTGACTTTGGCCTAGTCTACCCCTAACTTAGGGAAGGCTCCGAGCCCCTCAGTGGGGATGTATAATGAGATAAGAAAAGTACATAATATAAATCAAACAGAATTATGTTTTTGACGTAGTTGTTTACAAGGTAAATATTCTTTCTAGATCAATCCGTAGTCTTTACTACGGTGTGCCATCGTTCAAGTGGATTTACATGGCTCCTTGGACCAGCCTGCCTTCCTCTCTGCTAGGACTTATAGCAGCTTTCCTTCACTATCATTGGCAACAGAACAACTACGATCCAAAGGAATCACTGGTGAGATATACTAAAATAAAGAAAAAAGTTGGAATGTTTGTTTAGATTTAACTCAAAAACATATAATGATGGAAGGCTCTATGAACAACGAATAGTAATCCATTACTTTTTTTTGTATTTAACCCTTATGTTCATTTTGTATAGTATACCATACATACAACTTTAAAAAAAAATATGATCACTGTAAAATTATTTTAAACTTAGTTTTTTTTTAACTTCGTTTTTTGCCTTTTTTCAAAAAAGTAATTTTGCCACAATAAGGGTTAATTGAGATAAAAAAAACTGTCGTTTCATTTGAACGATAATTATATGAACTTAGAAACGTCAGATTCAATACATGGCGGCCATTACGCTCTTCATATATTCAAATATCTTCTGATACTTGGAAGATAAAGTATAATAACCTTACAATACCGTATAATATTATAAATGCGAATGTTTTAAAGAAAGAAAGAAAGAAAAGTTTTTATTATAGGTAATAAAGATTAAACCAAAATACAATAACTAACATAAAAATTGCACATAACATTGGATGGATGGATTGTTGGCTGCATAAATCTCGCTGAAAGGCAAAGATTTAGAACATAATCTGGAAAATCGCGTAAGCTACTAAATAGGATTTTTTTTTTAATCTCGTGCAAACGGAGTCTCTGGCGACAGCTAGTACTGTATAAAAAGGATAGCGAATATAATTTAACTATGCGAGTAAAAGTGTTTTACGGCAATAATATTCCAATTTATGAGTTAAGCTTAAAATGCTCATTTTGTCTGAAACATCAATTTTAATAATAATTATATGATTTATGTATGTTTATATTTCTGTATCTTCTTTCTCCAGATCTGCCGTATTCTGTACCGAAGTTCGGTACCCATTCTCTTGCTCTCTATAGCATCAGGCTACTTCATCAGGGATACGCAGTCACCTCTCGTCACGTCCATTTACACCGCCATCGACCGTCCACTCTTCAGTTTCATGATGATTGTCGCGTTATTAGGATTCATATATAAAATTGATAGTAAGTAATACCTACCAACCAACCTACCTTTAATCAACTTCATTTGATCGTCCTATCCTCCATCGAATCCACCTCCTCTTCTCATTCTTTCCTTTTAAGATATGGATGGGAAGGGAAAAATGGGTTAAATTGAGCCTCTGGCACTGCACTTGCACAACGAACCACGGTATTGCTTCCGACACGACTGTCGTCTGTGTGGTCGTAGTATTTCAACGGGATAGCCAACTTATTCGTGCAATAGATGTTCACGTCAACTTATGCTACAGCTGCTAAACAAACTAAAATCACTTATTTCAAATAATGTGTCTTTGTATCCAGGTCTCTGGTGGCAGTTCCTTTCCTGGTCCGGTTGGCGACCACTGAGTCGGATGTCTCTATCTATCCTACTGATACATTGGTGTTATAACCTCACCCAGGTCGCGGTTAAGACCGATCTTGCGAGAACTTCGATATACGAAATAGTAAGGGTTTCTTCTATCTTTTCAATTTAAAACACGAGTCATCACCAAACTACATGTACTTAATGAAGAAAAAAAAATATGATGTGATTTAATCTGATTTTTAATTAAAATTTGGAAAATAATGTTGGTTTACGTATTGTTGAATAAGTACAGTGAGGGTAGTTGTCGCTATTCAACTTATAGAAGAATAATTTCCATGCGTGAATTATTACTAGCAAAGGCGCGCGTAACTGTCTCGTGAATTATAAATATCTAATTGTATACTTTATTTCCAGGGTGGGCATTGGTTCGTGACAATTTTTATGACGTATGTGACGTCATTGCCGGTGTACCTGCTAGTGGAATTGCCGCTACAGCGGTTTCTGAAGGCAATGTTTTTTTAGAATGAACAACAAACAAACAGCTCTAAACAAAACCAAATAACAATTAATATTGTTCTAGTGCAATTAATAGCCGTGTAATTAATTGGAGAGGAAATTCGGGAATTTTTGAAATATATTTATTGGGAAAATTGATGTACAAATATATTTTGTAAAATTTATAGAACGTTAAGATAAAGAATGTATTTAGTTTTAAGATTAACTTTAACTTTCTATAGCAGCAGTCGCCCTTTGACAGTCCGAGACATTTTTCTTATCGACTTATTATAATTAAATACGTATTTAAAAGATATGAGAAAATAGTAAAAATTTTTGTTACATCGTTGCACGTATTCTGTCATATTTGGTGTCAGTAATTTAAAAAGCATTTTGAAACATATGTAACGATTTTTTTAATAATAATAACATTAAAATGAAAAGGTAACTCGGATAAATTAATGAGAACCAAGAAATGATCTTTTAAAGAGCCGTAGAATAACCATTGGAAATAAATTGTTCAAACGAGTGCCACGAGTTTTTGACATATATGTACATTTAACATATGTGTTTTTCCTATAGTCTTAAAATAGTGGTAAATGATATTTATTTACGTGATTATTATAAAATAAAATGTTTTAAATACTAACGAAACATCACCTTTATAGTATAGATTACATTCCTATATTTTCCAGTTATGTTTATAATTTTAACTTACACTTTTTACTTATAATGTTGAAGCTAAAATATTATTAACAATGTACAAAAATATTTTCATACAAAAATTAATATCAAAATTCGTAAATCCTAATATTGCAAGTTCCCATTAATGTTAAAAACTGTGATATACTATAATTATTGGTATACTATTAGATAAGTTTAGTTACTAAGGTTGAATTAAAGGTTTGAAAACATTTGATTGATTTTATTAAAAATTAAGAAATAAATAACAAAACCCTAAATGACACCTTTATACATTAACTTAGGGAGCATACCCATACTACATGACCTATTTTTTTAGTTTTTTCGACCTCTCCCTCCCCTCGGCGACCAGTCGTAGCCACACCCCCTTTAGTTTTTACGTAGTAATTCATAATTATGATTTTTAATCATTTCACAGGCAAAAATTGAAAAAAAAAACAATTTGGCTCATACTCTTCTTTATAGCATAAGACTGCATGCATACTTAAATTACTAGTGAATTATGTTTATGAAAAAAAAAACAAGTAACGACTACGTGACTAAAATCTGAGCGCCCTCCCGCTCCTGTGACTGTCCGTAGTATTTTAAAGACTTCGCCCCCCTCCTCTAAACGGGTCACGTAGTATGGGTATGTTCCCTTACATAACATTGGTTTAAACTGTATTTTGATTTCTATAAATACATAAAACAAAACAATTACATACATCGTCCATAAAAACGGACCTTATATGTTAAAAACATGCTTATAATTACAAGTTCACAAATGTAACAATTAATGTAATAGCATGAAATTGGTCCCTCGAACACATTTTTTTACATTATTTCCTTGGTATAGTAAATAAGGTGTCTAAGAGGATTGAATAGTTATAAGTTGTTACTTAGAAAAGAAAAATTAAGAATTTAACATCAAAATTCAATGTATAGTATTTAGAAGACGGGACCTTGGGCGGAGACGCTACTTCTGTTTTGTCAGATTTGAAAAAAATTACAAAATCGTTTAGTGATAATGGTTTACAGTAAAAATTTTCTAAACGTGAGTTGTATTTCAGCGAAAGGCTACCGGCAGAGTGTCGTCATGAGCTAAATTCTAAATTTAACGTATTTAACGTATTGGCTCCTGTTGCCGACAGATACAGAACCTTTTTAGACGTTTTTTACTCATAATTTTTATATTTTTGTATTTGAAACTTAATATATTTTTTCTTCCTTTTTCTCTGTATTTTATATTGGTTGTAAATATATCTTCTAACAGTGCGTGCTGATCTTTTTATTTTTATTATTCTATTTTATATTTTCATTTTGTCTTTTGTTTCCAAGACTACCTATACGCTTCGCTGTACACCGCTTTGGGACCACAATGACCTTCTCTCTCGCTAAGACGAGACGATAAGAGTAGCGTTAAATAGCACATTCAATTGTTCTCTGAATGATAGATGTTGGGCCCAAGGAACCTTACCGATTCGCCATGGTGGTCTTGGAATACGAAAAATTTCAAGTGTAGCACTGCCAGCCTTCCTGCCCTCGGTTCATAGCTCGGATAACCTCGTTGGTAGCATACTAGGCGTAGAGGTTGCCTGTTTGGTCGAGGCCAGGGATACCTGGCTTAGTGCTATTCCATCGCTTAGCGTTGGTACGCTTTTGGAGAGGACTACTTTTAGTTTGGCGGTGAGCTTACGTCTAGGGTCCCGGACGAACGAACCCCACCGCTGTCGTTCTGGGGTAGACGTCGATCCTCTAGGTCATCACGGTTTAGCATGTCGTCGCAGTGCGAAACGAATTCTGCGCCATGCCGCCTTAAATGACCTCATCCGTCGTGCCTTTGCCTCTTCCGGCGTGTCGGCAGTGCTTGAACCTAATGGCATCGCCCGAGACGATGGCAAGAGGCCTGATGGTATGACGCTGATACCGTGGAAAAACGGACGGTCACTCTTGTGGGATGCCACATGCGTGGACACTGTTGCCCCATCCCACGTGAGAGCGACCGCTCGCAAAGCCGGCGCAGCTGCGGCGACCGCCGAAATAAAAAAAAGGCGTAAATATACGGCCTTGGGAGATCCGTATATATTTGCGCCTTTTGGCGTGGAGACCTTGGACCTTAGGGTGGGGAAGCCCGTCATCTGTTTAAGGAGATTTCCGCACGCCTCATCGACGCCTCGGGGATTGAGGAGAGAGGAGAGGAAAGGTTGAGCCTGGCCATCCAACGGGGAAATGCCGCCAGCCTCTTGGGAACCCTACCGTGCGAGCGCAGCGATTTGGGGACGATTTTATGAACGTTGACTTTTCTGTTCATATTTAAAAATACATTTTTTTTTTCAAAAAAGTGAATTTTATTTTCTCTCATAAAAATTTGGTCCGATTCAAGACTTATATTTTATAAGGAAAAATGGAAAGTGAGGCATTGATAGTATTACAAAACGAATTTAAGCAAACTCTTTCAAAACCACAAATAAATTTAAAGAAGTCACCGCGTGATAGAATTACAACAGCATATGTTGAAGAAAGATTAAATACATTTGAAACATCGTAAGGGAAGTCAATGGCTCCTTTAATACAGGGAAACCTAGTTAAGGAGCCAAGGTTACAATGAATTTGATCTGTTAACTACGATAAAGTTTTATTATTTTAATAGACGTGTCAAGCTGTCACGTATTACAATACCAAGTTTTTCTGGCATTTATACTGAATGGCAGTCATTTTATGATTTGTTTACATACTTAATTCATAATAATGGACACTAAGATGACGTCCTGAAGCTTTACTATCTCAAAGGAAGCTTATCAGAAGATGCAGAAACATTAAATTATTCAAACTTTCGTGAGACATTATAATAGCAAACCGTTACGGCGAGGTTTGGAAAACAAGAGTGAAAAAGTACGCGACTTTAAGAATTAAGCGTTAATAGATTAGAAAGCGAATTAAACTTTGTGATACAGTGTCACGATTATGGTGTTATACCGAAATTTGTGCGTGTCAAAGAAGTGAATAGCTTTCGGGGTTACGAAGAGTACTTCCAAACGACGAGCAACAAAATACTAAAGCAGAAATATTGCTTAAAGGATTATCGATAACTGGAGACAATTATGGCATGGAACCTTTTAAAGAAGAGATATGATAACAAGCAGTATGTTGCGAAGTTCAATAACGAAATATAACTGAGGAATCAGCTTATAATATTTAACAATTATTAGACCCATCTGTTGAATGCATTAACGCTTTGAAACATATTGCCTACAGAATATTGGGACGCAATCTAAATTTACATTATTGTTTCAAAACTAGATGAAATTAGCCTTAAA